AGCCTCTGTGGTTGCTTGCCTGTAAAACCTGAAGGCAAAGTTAGCATTGCTGCGGACCGTCCTGTGGTAGGACCACCAGGATCTCCCCCATAGGGACACTGCTCCTGGGACATGTAGTTTTCTTACACTGCCTGTGGTGATTGGACTGGTGATAACCGGGAACAGCGATGTGAAGTACAGCAAAGGGGAGTGCTGACAGGCCTGGATAAGGAGCAAAACAAATATATTTCTTGATCTAAGTGTAAATAGATTTCATAACTGTGTGCTGTGCCGGAAACAACTCCTAAATTCATTCATCTGGCCCTTTGAGAACTTTTACGGTTATTACTTGTTTAGGTTGTAGCAACATTTGTCTTTCTGATCTCTCAGTAAAACCACTTCTAAACATTTTCAGCTATCAAAAAATATATATCTTGGTCCTTATACGTTCTTAGTCTGGAACGGTCTATGAGAATGAAGTGATCATGAGGGATCTGATTATATCTCTGTGATTCTGTACCAGTTTGGCAGTGGTGTTGGAGCAGTCTGTGATCTGCGCTATTTAACATCCCTGTCAGATTTGAGGAATGAAGAGCTATGCACCTAATCGCCTCCATCTCTGTATGCCCCTGTGCCAGTGCTGGAAGGAGAGCTGCATGACATCAGCATCAGCTGCTGAGCCTTTCTGGACAGGGGGTCCAGCTCCCAAGACCGCTAACTCTCCAAAGGCCATTTTCTGTCAGCTCCACTCAATTTGCAGAGCTGGTTCAGCACCCAGAAAACAGCTTGCACAATTGCCAAAAAGCTGGAACACAGTCCCCAGACCAAAGACAGACTTTCTGGTTTATACTAAAAACCTTAGTTTTGAGAATTTTAAGTACAGGGAAGTGCAGTGGCTGTGACTCCATAATACATTGTATCACACATTTTAAACTATATCCTAGTCCATTTACTATATCACTTAATACAATTAAACTTGCATATTTTACTCTTCATTTTCACACATGATCATTTGTGTGCTCAACCATGAAGCATTTTGAGATATCTGCATCACAAAACCATTGTCATATTACCTGAAGACATGTACAAATCCTCAGTGGAGAGCAGTCTTCTGAAAATATACACGCACAGCTACTGTGACAACAAATGCACATGGCTAATCAGAAAAAAACAGCACAACATAGCAATGACAGGCACATTGGAGTCTCAAAATTTGTGCCTTTCAATAGTTTTGAAGTTTGCTTCCTGAACTTCCTAAGTTTATTTCCCGTAGAAGGGAAGAATTGCTCAGGTTTTATCATTTACAGGAAATAGCTGGTGAAGGGCCAGTAACATAACCTTGACCTTAGGGGTTTACATGTTTTTAGTACGCTTCCTGACACAGGCATTGCCCATGCCAATTAAACTCTTCCAAATAAGCTCTAGGTGTATTTTAGGGATTAGCGCAGGCCAGTGGATTATTTCCAGTCAGCTACTTGGATATTCTGCAGGGGCAGAGAGTTAAGCAATGTGGGTATGAGCTATGACAAGCCAGTTGACCTCAGGGTTAGAGAACAGACCTTGGAGCACTTTATTTACTAGCATAGATGCAAGCTCTGTGAGTGTACTTAATCTCAGTGTAGGTTTTAGCCCTCCCAGCTATTCACACCCTATCTCTTCTGAATTTCCTATAGAGTGCTAAGATGGATGCCTCTTGAAGAAGCAACGATCAAATCTGCAAAGCAATACAAGTAACATCTTTTGGGTATCTGGCTAACATCCAGCTCTGATTTAGTTCCTGCTTTCCCATAGGATGCTCTGAGAGAGTTTGAGATCCTTAAAGTAGCTCAAAAAAAGCCAACACAAAGTGGGTGGATGCCATTAGCTGTGAATGCTGGAAAGGTGAGTACAGCGAAAGACTTGTCTTTCAAAGGAAGCGCCTAAAGCTTGTCTGAAAGGAGAGTGATTCCCTGAACTTGTGACCTGTAGCTATGCCTCCCCCTTTTCCTAGGAGCTCTATCAATGTCACAAAATAACATTGCTTCAGCCGCCACTTCAGTCAACAGCATAGTTTGCAGAGCATTCATTAGGCTTTTCCAAACCCACATGCAAACCGTTCTCCATCTGGGTAAAGGCAAACCTGGGCTTTCATCTTCCAGGAAAGTATCATTACCAGAACTCAAGGTCCAAGCTCTTTAGGGTTAAAATACAATAGCAGCTCTCCTTTCACAGTTGCCAGTCTGATCTACCTGGAGTTTAGGATACTGTAAGTATGGGATTGTCTGCCTACTGGCAAAGGAGGGATATGAACATGAGCTTCCTATATCCAAGGCAAATGCTCTAACTGCAGAGATTGGTGTGAGAGGGTGACAATTACCTTAGACAGGTCAGGCTCCACAGAGTAGCTTGTCCTCGGTTAGTAAGCCCTCTATTATGACCCTCATGACTCCATAAACTCAAATTCCTGATCCTAACTATTAAATTCCTGGTCACCCATCCCTGTATCTTTAAAGAAAATGAATGACATGCTCACAAGACCTTGAGAAGGGATAGTTTTTTGCCTAGTCAATAATACTCCTACAGTGAATCTCTCCAGTACAAGCATGTCCTGCATGTTATAACCTCCCGCCCTGCTTTAGGGGGAAATGTGACCCTGATGAAATTGTAGGGTCTTTACATTGACTGGTGTAATCACTGGGTCAGAATTAAATAATTAGGTGGAACCCACAAAAAGAGAGAAAATCAGGCTGACACCACACCCAGAGTGACTACATATCTGTTAGCAGACATCTGCTTTCCTTGGTGCTTCAGATTCTTGTAGGTGCCTAGTTTCGGGTCTATATTTTGGTAGTCCCCTGGATCCATGAGACTGCAACAGAATAGTGAGGTCAAATTGGTGCAGACATCCTCAGAGAGTGGGGACAATCATTTTCTCATGGAAATACAATATGACCTTTCTCCTTTACCAGAAGAGAGGTCCAGGTAGAAGAGAAGGACTGGACTGGGTGGACTGCGTTTGTATTTTGAGCTGTAATGTATCAGCCCTCTGCTGGACAGCACCTGATAAGACCTCACAGTTGCAGGAGCAATTTCTTTGTTTCCTACTCATAACTCAGGAGTAGCCTGTTTGTTCAATATGTATGTATATATTTACTTGAAATGTTTTAACATGCTTTCTTCATATGGATATTAACCTTGTTTTTCAAAGATAGCATACACTGATCATTGAAAACCTGATTTCTAAGCCCATCCATAATTCACTCATAGGCATAGTTCAAGGGTTACTTTCTAGGGGAGGAAAGGGGAAAAACAGTGTTTTCAAGAATGACCACATACATCTTTTTTTCAGAGCTAGAAAACTGTTAGTAACAGCTTTGATACAATTTTAATCACATAGAAATACAATCACATGAAGAATGCAATTCAATTCAACACAACTAGCCACTGACAGCTCATTTTTCAGTAGGATTTATAATTTTTCCCATGAACAGGATGCTCTGAGTATATTGATCAACAACCAACAGCAAAAATGGACGGTTAAATTTAACAACAGGAGGAACAGAATGAGGAATGAATTCTGCGTAAGTGCTTCCTGCCGCCTCTGTGCCATTTTCATGGATATTCAGCAGGGCCTTGTGAGCAGCCTACAATAAAATACAGCAAGTATTAATGTATGTGGAGAAGACTGGGGAGGAGAAACTAAAATTAGCACTTAATTCGTTCACCTATTGCCTTTCACAAAAATTGCTGATAGACCAGGGACCAGGAAGAAAGCCACTAGAGCCCATGATGATGGATTTGTTAGCAATGTGGTCTCTATAAGCAAGTGTTTTCCCATTCATCACTGCTTACTGCCAGCGTAGCTAAGAGACCCCAGTGAGTGTGAACCTCGTGACTGCATTCCCATTCAGTATTTCTCACCATGGGTGTATCTAACAGGCTACAGTGACTGCACATCTTATGCTATGAATTGGAAAATAGAACATTCAAGGAAACTCAGAAGAAATGATGATTTCAGAGAATAAGGAAGCTGGAATCCAGGACTACTCGTTCCTAATAGCACATGAATCACAAATTTAATCTCCACACTATAGTTTTTAAAATTATTGGAGAGTATTTCTATTTAATCATTTTATTTTACTAGCCCCAGATTGTTAAAATATGGTAATTGGTCCTTTCACAATAGCTATAAGAATGCTAATGTTTATCTCAACATTGTATCTTATTTCCAGGAAATAGGATGCTTTCCCCAATCTGGTCCATTTTACGTGATTAGCGCTTGTCTTCAATGACAGCAGAAGTTTTAAAATCCATTAAAATTATAGAATATACATGTTATAAAAAGAATCACTTTCTCTGCTAAATACTCTGATGCAAAGCATCCCTAACACAGATATCCATGGAGACTCTCTTCATGTGGAGAAACTGGGCTGTGTTTAGTTCCTGGGATAAATGCTATACCCCTCTGAACCTGTGCCACGTCTCAGCCTGTTAGAAGGAAGATAGTAGGATGAAACTGCTTTTATACTTCTCTTAGCCCCAGATCTTGGACATGTCTGAGAGAATTTAAGGTTACTGCTTTATTAGCTGAATGGTTTTGTTCACTGACTACCAAACAGCCTGAAAAATAAGAAAAATGTCCCAGCACAGCCTAGGCAAGGCTATGAGAAATTCATAGAACATCATTTCTGCTGACAAACTTACTTTTGAAACCTTTAGATCAGACTCTCCTATGATTCCAGACAAATCAGCATGGTCAGAAAACACATCAGTTACACCCAGATTCCTGAACATCTTCTTTAAGTCATAGGTGCCATAAAGAGATAGTTTTGGAATATACACTTCTATCCTCCTGTTAAATTCAAAAGAAAATGATGGTAGTTACTGTAATTAAATAGCATCTTGGACTAAAGTCTCCCAGCTGGCTGGTCATTCTTCTGTCAAAAAAAAACCTTATCTTCAAATCTGGAAGAGATGGCAACAAAAAGGAGGGGTGAAGACAGCGATTTGGAGTAAGGAAGAGAAGAAAGACATTGGTTGAGCTTTGTTATACAATACCGCAACAGTCACTCTACTGGCAGCAAGATGTTGTGCCATCACGTTTGGGATATATTTGAGTTCACTTTCTAGCTCGAAATATTTTTCTTTTGGATTTCACACTCCTTTCCCACTAAGGGATCTGGTTGCTATGCAGCAGTATTACCACACCTAACACACTGTACCTGAGACAGGAACTAGAGACACTTACTTAAGATCAGCTATATACTTCATGGGAAAAGAAGCTGAGTTTGCAAACTCACAGGTCTCTTCCCTCATCACAAGGCAATACTGATTCCAGTTCTTGCTGAAAGTAAATAGCATGAAATCATTTGGTCTACCCTTTCATACTCATCTCAACACTTAACATCTCCAGTCAACGGCAAAAGCTGTAAAAACAGAAGAATTGTAAAGTCTGATCATATTATTATTTAGACTCTGGATTATAACCTACTGGGAAGCATCAGATCAGAATTCGATATTTACCGTCTTTCAAGTGATTTTTCCCATTTAGACACAGTGTCTTTCGTAAGGGCATCCTCCAATCGTTTCATTTTTCCTTTGTTGGGCAGGATAAATAATGCCGCCACATCTCCCTTGTAAGGAATCTGCACCACCTCACAAGAAAGCTTTCTGTCGGAGTAGCTTTTATAAAACCCATCTCGACTCATCATCTCCACTTCGACCGAAGTCTTCTCATTCACATAGAAATAATCCTTATGAGTCCCCTTAATATTGAAAGGATTTTCCCAGTAGGCTTAAAACCAAAAGAGAGAATGCAATTGAATGCTTATTTCAAATAAGATATATTAGCATAGTCCAGACTAATTTACATCAAAAAAATACATATCTGAGGACTTACACTCATACTTGAAGATCAAAGTTACTCAAAATTTGTTAAAGACCTTGGTCCCTGTCATCTTCATTGTAATGTTTTCAGTAATAACCAAATATTGCAGAGTAAACTTGGCATGGATTTGTACAATGCCTTCACAATTAAATGAATAACTTCATTATATTATCTTACATTTTATTTGAAGAAAAGAAAAGCTGACCATGAACCAGGTAGTTACTTTCTGGTTTGAGAGCATTTCTTGTAAAGCAGGTTCCCCAGTAGATGACTGCTTTTTAATAGGTAACATGTGAAGTTCCTTTAATGTTTTTTCTTGTTATTCATCTTATAGTACTAAAGAAAAGCTTCTATGCAAGAACAACCAAAACTTTTTGGCCTGATTATAACTCCATTATGGCAAATGGAATGAGGCTTTCATCTTCAAAATGGATTTCTCTTGATGTTTATTCAAAAATATGTTCTGATATTTTATTTGTATTAAATCAGATTGTTCACTGAATCACAGAATGGTTGAGGTTGGAAGGGACCTCTGGAGACCATCTAGTCCAACCTCCCTGCTCAGAAAGGGTCATCTAGAACATGTTGCCCAGGATCACATATAGGCAGGTTTTGAATACTTCCAGGGAAGGAGACTCCACAACCTTTCTGGGCAACCTGTTCAAGCGCTCAATCACCCTCACAGTGAAGAAGTTTTTCCTCATATTTAGATGGAACTTCCTGCGTTTCAGCTGCCTCTTGTCCTGTCACTGGGCACCATGGAGAAGAGTCTGGCCCCATCCTCTTGACACCCCCCCTTCAGATACTTGTACAAATTGATCAGATTCTCCCTCAGTCTTCTCTTCTCCAGGCTGAACAGGCCCAGCTCTCGCAGCCTTTCTTCAGAGGAGAGATGCTCCAGTCCCCTCATCATCTTTGTAGCCCTTCACTGAACTCTGTTAAAGGATTAATTCCATTTACATCCATTTACATGCCATGTTACAGGCACGTGAGTAGAATAAGGTGTACATTTGGAATATGTTTTTCAACTTCATACAGCATATAAAACTACTGCAGAATCATTTTGGAAAGAATAAATAGAAAAACCCTGATATGAAAATTTACAAATACACAAGTCTGTTGTGCTCTGGCAACTCCACAAAGCTTAGCGATTGCAAATAAACAAACTCTTAGGCCTAAGAGCCTAAACATATACTAGAAAAATGTAAATGTGGAAGACCTCCGAGCATGAGAACTTTCAATGTTTCTCATCATAATAGTGTAATCTACTGGCATTTCTTTTAAAAATAATTCAAACATAATTAGGAGTATTTTTGTTTTAGGCCAAGACACAGCAGTAGATAGCATCTATATAACTCAACTTACCTTTGAAGTAAATATAGTTAACAAGAACCATTAAAATATCTGGATCAAGGTCTTCAACTGTTTGGTTTACCTTCCCGTGGGTTTTGTTCTTTATATAATCATTGATCTCACTTTCAGCTTCAGTGGAATTCTGAAAGTTACTAGAAATAACTTTTGCTTTATACAGCTTTTTGCTGTCCTTCAGAAACTTTTTCAGTGGCTTGAGGTGTTTGTCCATGAACAGGGCGCTCCCCATACTCAGCTGCGTCTGGCTGTCAGGGCGGTTCAGTGCGAGAAGGAGATGACGAAAGCCGTTGTGTATCTCCTCCTCCCGGATCTCGGTGAGGTTAAAGGCGAGCCCTTCCAGCACCTGAGTCTGGGTAGCAGATCTGGAGCCCAGGGCCAGCAGGGCAAAGCCGTGGTTTCTTGCCTGTAAAACCTGAAGGCAAAGTCAGCGTTGCTGGGGACTATCCTGTGGTAGGACCCACCAGGATCTTCCCCGTGGGGACGCTGCTCCTGGGGGTAAGTCACCTTGTGCTCTCCGTTGTGGTGCCTGGGCTGGGGCAGGCTGCAGATGGTGGGGTGAAGTGCAGCCACCAGCAAACACAGGGGAAGGGAGGCTTTCATCTCCTTTTGCAGTTACTGTGTGAACAAGGAAGGAAACAGTCATAGTCATGTCAACATTTCATCTTTTATTTCTATCCATTTTTAGATTCAACAGTTATTTGGTAATCATTGTTCTATCTTGACCAGCTTCCTTACTACGGAAAGTGTTTTGAAATCCTCCTGCTTCTGAGTTTGTGTATAATTCCTATCCATTTTACTTCTGCCTTCTTCCAGCTACAGAAGTCCCAGAGAGAGAAGCAGGTGAGTATTAAAGAAAAATAGGACGTGTTAGGAGTTAGAGGAAAAGAACAAATGAGACAGACTGGTTTTGATTTCAGTGTAAGTCCCTTTTATGGTGAGACAGCACATCAGCGGCAATTCTTAATTCTCTTATGTTTACCTCTAAGAAATCTGACAGTTAATATGCTATTAGTGATTAAATGAGGCTCGTGTCAGCTAACATAGCTATGTAAATGGAAAACACTTAATATGTTACTGCAGTGCTCAAACGTAGTGTTCTTCTCTCATTCTTGACTCATTTTTAACGTAAAAAATGAGTAATCACAAGGAAGCTAGCAGCACTTCCCTTCAATACCTGTTCTGATTAGATAAGGATATGTTACTTTCTTTTAAACAACTGCCTCAACTGATGAATACGTTCCAAATGGATCCCTCTCTATTTGTGCCCACCCCCTTCCTAGTCATAGGAGAGTAAGGTTATTGATGTGGTCTCAGCCCCTTGTGTTTCTCCAAATTTTGTATTAGCAGGAAAGTAATTTCACAAGGGAGATAGCCCCATGGCTAGAGCAGCGCCCAGCAAAGAGCCTGAATTATGGCATCTTGGCCATTTCTGATAATTGTGGGTATTCTTTGTTTATTACTTTCCTTTTTTTACCCATTAGGCTAAGAATTCATAGGAATAATTGGTAGTATCTAGGATGTTGAACTTGTCAGAAGACAGATAACAGCTATGCCAATTAAAAATCTTACTAGTGACTGGAAATGCAATTCAAAACAGTACTCCCAAGGTAGGCAATTTAAAGTGCAACAGCTTTAGGGAAGAAGATCAAATGAGTTATCTACTCAAACCCTACAGTGGATGGGTAAGCACTCAGATATGGCTCAGGAGAAGATTATGACATTTTAATTGGAATTTTTCCCGCTGTGTCAGCACACTAACCACTAAGATGTTGGTGAAAAAGGAGCTAGCTAGTTCTTCTCTGTGAGGGGAGCTTTGCTCTGTGAAATGCCAGTAGATCAGGACTTATGGGGAGGTTGTTACAGCATAAATCAGCTTTGTGAATCCTGTCAGAACTGTGCTGGAAAAAGTAAAGTACCCCATTCACACAAAAGTCTGGGTAATGTGGTTGTAATGCGCAGTACAGCTCTAGGGAATCTCAGTAAAGATGACAGGACTGGTGGTTGAGAAGACAGAATATTTTCCCCCTTTTAATGAAGCAGGGTTCTTTTGATATGAAAGAGTTATTTAGGATAAATGTTCTGAGCAAGGTTATACTCTGCAGGGCTGCTATAACGTATCTCCACAATTTGCTATTCAATATTTCTTGAAATTATGTTCTTGAGTGCATAGAGACCAGGTCTCACCGTTCAAAGCAGATGTGCTTCATGGCTCACCAGCTAATTGCCATACAGCTACACCAAAATCTTTAAGGTAAAGGTAACTGGGTACTTACATTACATTCAGAAGGGTCCTGCTCTCGTATGAGTTGTGCTGTTTCTCTCTTCTTTGCTTATACTGCTATCTTCCTCTGTTAAACATTACATGACTTCAAATACAGATTATCTAGAAGGACACAGTTGAATGCTGATGAGGCGAATTTTCCCAGGCTCAGATTCATGTGTCCTCAACTGTCCACCCCAAACCAAGAGCAAAGACCGTGGAGCTGAGCTGGTCAGTAGCCAGGTCTGTGAAGTGTTGTGTCCCTAATGGTATGCAACCCTTATTAAACAAATATTTATTGGAAATGAGCTATCGGTGCCAACACCAGTTACTTTGCCCTATGCGCTTCCTGAGCACAGAGATTAACATTCAGCCAAAGACGCACAACTTAGCCTGGCGCTAGTCTCCGGCAGCAAGGCCAGGCAGGCAGCCTGGATGAGGGAGCCAGTGGGAGCACAATCCATCACCAGCCAGGCTGCCCAGCCTGCCAGACTCCGCTTCAAAGGGACTTCTTCACGCATCTGATCCAACGTATACCAGCTAAACTTCGGTAATCCCACAACACCCAGCCTTACACCGAGATCGCAAGCCCAGTCCTCCCCTTTGCAACAGATACAGAAATCCCAGAGGAGGGGTGGGGGCAAAAGTCACTAAAACTATTGGCAGTGCTAATGGGACTCTCCCTTGAAAAGCATTGTCCTGGTTTTCCTATCCTGTCACATGTGTCCAGCGTTTGACTCAGTTAAGATATAAGAAATATTCTAATGGAATTAGGCTCATTGTTTCTTTTACATCGGATTTCTGTCAAACACAGCAAAGCATAACTAACAAGAAAGAATAACAACCAGTTCCATGCAACGATGGTGAGGACATTATAGTGCAGTATTCTCTTTTGCTTCTGTACCCTGGACCAAGTCTGCATCATCAGAGAGATCAACACATTTGTTAGAAAGCACTTTAGAATTCCATTCAGTAGTTCCTATAACAGGCCCCAAAATGTGCTGAAATTAAATTAACCTTCTAGAAAGATGGCCAATCTCGAAATAATACTTCAAGTGAGGCAGAACCTTGAGGTGTCACTTACTGTGTTTAGTAAATCTGCACTGAAATTCAGTCTTATACTACATGGGAATATCTCTAGCTTCTAATTCCAGCTATTGCAGTGTGTTAAGAATTTAACTTTCTTCCCTATTGGCTGAAGGGCTTTCAGGTATGAGATAGCTTTTTCTCTGCCAAGTTCATTAAAATCTCTAAATTTCTCAGTTCTCTCCTTGTCTCTGTGCTTTATAAGGAAAAATACAATTTGCTTGATTCCTAGGCATGCTAGTTTAAGTATCCTTTCTCACTTGAAGGTCAATGGTCATCTCCTTGTTGACATAAAGGGAGGTGATACCTTAATACTAGGTTTAGTTTTGTTTACACAGTTAGTGGTAATGCTGACCCCTTTAGTCAGATCATATTCAGCTGGTTATCTTTATGAAGTGTAAGTCTTCTCAGCATCACAGCTTGCTACATTATGGTCTTCCACCCTGTCATCTGTAATATGTTGATTCACGCTTCTTTTGCGTACAAGTCATGCTTGACATGCGTTCATTACTTGCTGTATTTGTGAAAACAATATTTACAGCTTATTCCCTCAGATAGCTACATCCCTTATTTCCCAAGGATAGTATATTTTTCGTGAGACACAAAAAGCCTGATTACTAACCCAGCTGGTGTTGGA